AGCAAGCACTGGGCGACACAGGGAAGGAAAAACTTCCTTTTAACAGGCAGAAACCCGGAGCAGAACCATGGCTCAGGGTGGGGGGGGGCATTGGCCTCGGCCAGTTGGGGGCGAGAGACAGAGAGGGGGAGAGAGAGAAGGGAAGCAGCCAACACAGTAACAATGACGTCGGTTCCACTCTGTTTACTTGATTTGTCTCCAATATAATTGAGTTGACTTGTTTAATAGTTGCACTTATTAAAACTAATTGAAATTCGTAGTGTATTCTCAAAAAAGAATATTGAAATGTACACTTATTATCACAAACATTTAAACCGTATAATCTGTGCGTCAAGTATCAACTTATTTTGAAGAAGTTAACTTAATTTGCATATTGATATTTCACACAAAGATTCATGTTGGAGGTATACGCATTCATTTTGATATAGTCAACTAAAATACTCATCATGATGATATTCAACATGTTTATTTAGTATGTACAGTGGGGGAAATAAGTATTTGAGCCCTTGCTGATTTTGCAGGTTTGCCCACTTACAAAGAATGCAACGATCTATAACTTTAATCATATGTACATTCTAACAGTGAGAGACAGAATCCCAAAGAAAATTCCAGAAAATCACATCATTTGAATTTATAAAAATTGATAAACATCTGATGAGGAAAAAGAAGCATTCTTTGTAAGTGGGCAAACCTGCAAAATCAGCAAGGGGTTAAATTCTTATTTCCCCCACTGTATACCTAAATATTACTGTCACATTTACTGGCTCTATGAATCATTTCTTTGAGTGCAGACTGGATAAAAAATGGCAAAAATATTTATACTAATGATAATGATAGCAATAATAACAGCAATAAGACCCCCCCACTGCACACACTCAGGACAATAACAGAGCCTTAAGGAGTCCACACGCTGGTTTTAGGCAGAAATAAAACAGCAGGAATTCCCCTCCAGCAGAGGTTTGGAGAGGAATGGGGGGGGGGGTCTTACTGGTTCTCATGCAGCGGTTGGTGAGGTTGTGGCAGGACAGGATCTCGTCCTCGTCCACCTCGCTGAGCACGCGCGCCTGGCGCAGGTAGGGGATCAGCACCCCGGGCTTCACGCCCAGGGAGATCCGGTGCCGGTTGTCGTTGATCAGCTCCCAGAGGCCCTCCTCGTCCATCTCCTTGGGGTCCGGGCCGTCGGGAGCGTTCTCCCCAGCCATCCCCGGGCCGCGCGCGTGCGTGAGTGTGCGCGTGAGTGCGTCTTTTAGCGTGTGTTTGTGTGTGTGTGGGATGTGGTCCTCCTTTCCTCCGCCGTTTAACCCACAAACTGGAGCTGATTGAGACCCACGCAGGTAGATCACAGCCCGGCCACGCCCACTGATCAAGCCCCGCCCACTTCTCAGGCCCCGCCCACTCACCGGCCGTGTGGTTGGTGTTTGAGTGGGCGTGGGGGAAAAAAAAACCTGCAGGACGTGTTGGCTCTCAAACAAACAAGCCATAAAGCATCAGTTTTTCTATTTTGGGTCCCGCTTTGTTGTGTCTGTTTGCTCGGGGAGGAAATTCAGAGAGTGATCACACATAAACATCCGGGGACCGGGCCTCCACAAAACACAAACACCAGACCTCAGATGAGGTCAGCTTGATCATTCCTAATTATCAGAAGAGCAAACAGACGTAGCAGACGGGGAGCAAAGTCCTCCCTAAAGGGGGAAATAAGGCCCAGAGACTGCTTCTTCTGAGAGGACCGACTGTTTGTTTTAGCTTTATGCAAACCAACGTAAATTATCTGTAGGTGTAGAGGCCGCTTGCTCTTTTTCATAAACACAGAAAATACAAACAAACAGATTCTGCTTCAGGAGTGAAAGTGAACTTTAAAAAAAGCTTTAAAAAAAACACAAAACACAAACACCAGGAACGTGAACGTGAACTTTTGGATCCCGTCTTCTGCATCCATTTATGCGCTAAACCCACAAGAACTGGATCAAAGTTCAGCTCACAAAAATGGAAACTAAAAAAGTTAATAGATCACCGTTTAAAATGCGGGACGGCGTGAACTTATTGAGCTGACGGAGGCAGATGCCCTTCTGCGTTCCTGATCGCTGATGTCAGCAGTTTTTGACCATTGTTGTTAATATTCAACACTCTTTTCTCATTATCAGTAAAAATGTAAACGTTTCTGATTAATTTTCTATCATTACTTATCACGTATATCACATATTTTGGCCACAGTTAGACATGTAGAGCTAAAAAAACCTGGAAAAAATGAATAAATGACCAAAGAGGAGCACATCTCTACACTTTTCTGTTCATTTATACTCTAAATCGAACTTATATATATAATTTGAGCATCTCAGAGACACAGAAGACCACAGTTATCTTCTCCAGGCTTCATTACTGTTCTTATAAATGTATTTTCTCTCCTCTGGGTGGTTCCCCTCATAAATGTGAACGTTCCTAAAGAACGAGACCCTTAAAGACAAACTTTGGAGGAAAAGTTCTTTCCAAAGTGAGTGAATGTGTTTGGATTGAGGCCGAAAAAGCTGAGAAGTTTGATCCACGAATCCCAAATAGTGCCACAGACCAGTGTGGGCTTCTTTCTGAGCTTAAAAAGGAGAGTAAATGGTGGACAGAAATGTTCAGAAACTCGGTGAAGATCCAGAGCTTAATAAACGCATCAGAAAATGTGGTAATTTTAAGTCTTTTCTGTGTGGTTTGTGACCTTTTTTGTTTAGTTTTGTGTCAGTGTTTTCACATTTCCCTCGAATTAGAATTTTAAAACACGATCAGGCAGAGCATTCAACCTCTAAAAATCTATTTTCTGTTCAGACCAGTGTGGGCTTCTTTCTGAGCTAAAAAAAAGAGAGAAGATGGTGGACAGTGGTTTGGCTCAATGTTCAGAAACCCGGTGAAGATCCAGAGCTTCATGAATGCATCAGAAAATGTGCCCGTTCGTGGTCATTTTAAGTAATTTCAGGATGGTTTATGACCTTTTTCTGTTTAGTTTTGTGTTTGAATTAGGATTTCAAACACGATTTCTTTCCTGAGTTTCTTTTACTGAGCTTCTCTGACAAATCAGAAACGCATCAGGCAGAACACTCAACCTCTAAAAATCTTTTTCTGTTCAGGAATGACAGAAAACTAAAATAATTTGAACCCTTAATCACAAAAAATAACGTTCTTTACTAGGTTTTTTCAATTTTAGTAGAACAGAATCTTTGAAAATGCTTTGTAAACAAATGCACTGATGACAGCATTACAGGAGGATTCTCTATTCTCTGGAATAGAGAAACGTAAAGATTCAAAGATCCAAACAAAAGCAGTTTTATTAATTGTAAATGTGCTTTCTTGGACTTTCAATGCCCTTTGGACCCTAATGCCATGTTAATGTTTGTCATATCACACGAGGTCATTTTTCACATTCCTGTTTTTCATAAAACACAACCAGTTTTATAAAATAGCAGACAGGATTTCTCACATTGTGGAGCCTTTTCCTGCTCCAGAAGCCAGTTTTTTTTTTAACAGAGCATCTGTAACCAGAGCTACGTTTCACCAGCTAAAAAACCAAGCAAATTAGCATTTCTTCCTTTTCCTGGACTCATAATAACCACGATCGGGGTTCTTTAGTGTGTTATTATCGAGTGAAAAATGTCTTAAATGTTTGAGAGGGTTGTTAAACTCTCCAACGTTAACAAAAGAAGAACAGAAAAGGTCCCAATAGAACCAGGAAATCTGATCTGTCTAACAACAAACTCAGTTTTTTAGCTTTAAAATAGGGAGAATGGGGTTTTTCCCTTTCATTTTCAAGATTCAGAACACAAAAGCTTATAAAGAAATGCTGGAATGATTTGATCCTAAAGCAACAATGCCCGTGACGAAAGCAGGGCGGAGAGCCCACTCCCTCCTATAAAAACAAAAACAGAAACATAAATGTGAGCCCAGTGTGAAGACATTCCCTCAGACAGGAAGCCTCCAAACCCAGAACACCGGCATCTATCTGTTCTGCTCGGGTTAACCCTTTAAAGCCTGATCCAAGAATAAAACAAAACAGAAAATTACTTTTTTTTTTTGTTTGAATTCCTTATTTGGCCTTTTAACAACATATGTCAAAAGAAAAAACAGAAATACATTTTTAATATTAATGATTTATTATTATGCAATAAGTCAAGATTATGTTTTGTGTAGTCTTCTGCCCCCTGTTATCAGGTGTATCTGATTGTGTACAATAGGATTTTGATAAAAGTTTTTACCATTGAATTATGCAAAAGGAGTCAGACGCAAAACATTTCAGAAACCGTATGAATCAGATATGATACGTCTGGCATTACAGGGTTAAGGAAGATAGTATTTCTCAGACTTAATAACAATGGTTAAATTGTGGGCCGGCCGGTTGGAGAGGCAGCTTGAGTCCGGAGGTGAAGGTGAAACGGAGAGCAGGGTTTGGTATGAGGAAATGTTTGATCGTTTTTAGGGGGATTAACCGTGCTCCACTAAACAGAGTCTGCAGAGCCGGTTCCACCAGAGGTGTTGCAACCGCCTCGTGTTGTGCTCACGTAGGCCTGTTTCCCAACTCTGTCACTCAGAAAAAGACTTAAAAAAGACTCTGACAAAAAGCTCCTCCAGCTGAGACGCTTTAAAACTTAACGAGAAGTGTCACAAAATGTAATTAATTAAGACAGCTGACTAAAAAATAAGTCATTAAGAGAATTAAAAAAGATTTGAACTAAACTAAAATCACTTTATGAGATTAGAAATACACTTAATTCGGTTTGAATGATTGGAAAGTGGAGGTTTAGATTGGTCATTTGGAAAGTAGATGGCCAAATCTGTACAGTAAGATACAAAAATTAATATAAAAATGAGTATTTATTCATGTATAAACTGAGATATTAGCCCAATATGTTGCTGTTTAAGGCCCTTTGATGGCTAAGAGACATTAAAAAACACTAATTTTAGCATTTGTGAGCCATAATTCCTGTTTCCAGATGTTTATTATAACGCAAAAACACTATAATTTCTTATTAACAGACAGCTCCTGCCTGTGTGTGCGCGGCCAGTGCGGCGGCCGCCCTGCGCAGCGCCCCCCGGTGGCGGGGCAGCTCCTCCCAGACCTGCTGCAGGATGGCGGCGGCGGCCTGCGTGCGCTGGGCGTGGCTCTGCAGGGCGCCGGCCGTCCTCTGGCTGGAGGCGGCGTAGCTGCCCTCACTGACCGCCTGCAGCCTCCGGCCTCTGGCCTGCAGGGTCAGGACCAGGGCCCGCTTCTACAGGCCGAAAAAGCACACGGACAGGGGGCGATTTGAGTCCCACAGACAAGTATAATCCCAGAAAAGATGAAAATGAAAAGGTTCTGCTGCTCTGTGTGAGTTGAGGGGGGTTCCATGAGTGGAAACTAATAATAATAATACATTTGATTTTTAAAAAGCCCCTCTCATGCCACTCAAGGACACTTTGCAAAGATGAAACTACATTAAAACATAAGAAAACATACAAAGTCTTAAATACCCCATAAATAAAAACATCATAAATTAATTAAATAAAAATGTAATGAATAATACTGTGCAAAATGAGTGGAAACTGTGAAAATGAGAAGGTTTTGCTGCTCTCTGTGAGTGGGGGGGGTTCCATGAGTGGAAACTAATAATAATAATACATTTAAATCTTAAAAATCGCCTTTCATGCCACTCAAGGACACTTTGCTGAGACGAAACTACATTAATAATACATTAAAACATAAGAAAAAGTTACAAAGTCATAAATATATCTTAAATAAAAACATAATAAATTAATTAAATAAAAATAGAATGAATAAACTGTGCAAAATGAGGGGCAATGAGGGGAAACTGTGAAAATGAGAAGGTTCTGATGCTCTTTATCAGTGGGGGGGGGGGTTCTATGAGTGGAAACTAATAATAATAATACATTTCATTCTTAAAAAATGCCTTTCATGCCACTCAAGGACACTTTGCAAAGATGATCATCATTAAAGCTACATTGAAACATAAGAAAACATACAAAAACATAAATACATCTTAAATAAAAACATCATAAATGAATTAAACAAAAATGGAATTAATAAAACTGTGCAAAATGAGGGGCAATGAGTGGAAACTGTGAAAATGAGAAGGTTCTGCTGCTCTTTGTCAGTGGGGGGGTTTCTATGAGTGGAAACTAATAATAATAATACATTTTCTTTTTAAAAAGCACCTTCATGCCACTGAAGGACACTTTACAAAGACGATCTTCATTAAGACAACACTGAAACATAAGAAAACATACAAAGTCATAAATAAAAACATTATAAATGAAGTAAATAAAATGGAATGAATAAAACTGTGCAGAATGAGGGGTAGTGAGGGGAAACTGTGAAAATGAGAAGGTCCAATAGTCGTCCTGATCACCTGTTGTGTTCCCCCGGGGTTGTGTTAAATGTTAAATGTGTTAAATAGTCTGCGTTTCCCCTGGTCGTGTGCCAGTGACCCTTACTCTGCATTATCTAGTCCTCCAACCATAGTCCTTGCCTCGATTCCTGTTCTCCTCTCACGAGTGATTTTGCGTTCCTATTCCTCCGAGTGTTTTGCCTAGTGAGTACTATTTTGCTACTTTGTTTCCTCGCCTTTTTGCTTCCTCGTTCTCGAGTGGTTTTGAGTTATTACTTTGTAATCTCCTTGTGGAGCGATTTTGTTTTCACTCTTAGTGAGTGCGCCCTGAGTTAATAAACACTTGTTGTTGTTTTTTTACTCATCCTCTGCGACTGAGTCCTCTCTGAGCTCCATGCGTGTCACATTGAAACATAAGAAAACATACGAAGTCATAATTAAATGAAAATTGAATGAATAAAACTGTGCAAATCGAGGGAAAATGAGTGGAAACTGTGAAACTGGAGCTGGTGAATTCCCTGTGGGGGCCCAGAGTGATGGCGGCGTGTTACTGTTTTTTGTTTTTTTTGTTTTTTTTCCTTGTCGTGTTTGGCATTATGGCAACAGAATTGTAATCTGTTTCTTACCGTCTCCTTGGCGTCCTGCAGGCCGGTCAGCTGTGCGTCCAGGCTGCTGCTGCAGGCGAGCAGCTGGGTCAGCTCCTCCCTCTCCTCCTGGAGCCTCCGGCCCAGAGCCAACTGGCCCCCCCGCAGCTCCCGGAGCCGCCGCTCACACTCCACCCCCTCCTGAAGCATATATTCACATTCATCCATCCATCCATCATCAATGCTGCTTATTCCCTGATGGGGTCGCGGGGGGAACTGGAGCCTATCCCAGTGGTCAACGGGCGAGAGGCAGGGTACACCCTGGATAGTCCGCCAGTCCATCACAGGGACACACAGAGACACACAGAGACACACAAGGACCAACAACCACACACACACTCACATTCACTCCTAAGGGAAATTTCCCCAATCTCCAATCAACCTAACATGCAGGTTTTTGGACGGTGGGAGGAAGCCGGAGAACCCGGAGAGAACCCACAGACACAGGAGAACATGCAGACTCCACCCAGAAAGGTCCTGGTTCCCCCGGGATTCGAACC